CATTGTCAAGTTCATCATATTGAAACAATACACAAGTGACAGTGAACTGTCTGGGTGAAATAAAACATCATTGTCAAGTTCATCATATTGAAACAATACACAAGTGACAGTGAACTCTCTGGGTGAAATAAAACATCATTGTCAAGTTCATCATATTGAAACAATACACAAGTGACAGTGAACTGTGTGGGTGAAATAAAACATTATTGTCAAGTTCATCATATTGAAACAGTACACACAGATATGAGCCTTTCTATTTATCAAATACATATTGATCTCAACCTACAGTATTGTTGAGGATAATACAGTCCATAACGAGGTAATAATGGTGATATTTTGAAAGATGAGTTCCTAGCAGTTTCAAGTTTATTATGGTTATCACAATATACTTAGTGATGAGATCACTTACGTTACCCTATGGATTACCACAGTTGTATACAGAGCTTTAGATAATTCTCTTTTACTTCAAAAAGTCCATACAGATGGGATCAATTACTTTAGAACATTCTTTTACAAGACAAATTATTCTCTGTTAAACTGTGAAACTCACTTTAAGATATCACCCGTTACAATAAGCTAACAATCACACAGTTTAACTTTACCTTCACTAACTTAACATTTTCTGACTTAACTTCTTTTGTTGGTTACCACAGTTTTATCCAGAGCTTTAAATAATTGTCTTTTTTTTTCTGTTTAAAAGTCCATACAGGTTGGTTCAGTTACTTACTAATCCATTTGATAAGACAAATTATTTTTCCTATCTCTGTTGTTACAATACAGCTGTGATACACAATATAAAAATCACCAGTTAAGGCTGATTACTTGCACGCCAGCTAACTTCACGTTTTCTTTCACTAACTAACTTTTATCTGACTAAACTTAACTTATGCTCACTTAGTCACCTTTATATACATTGTCCAACTGAGGCCTAGAACTTTCTACAAACTACGAGATGCTATGATGTAACAATACTTACAGAAGGTACGAGTAATGTGACGTAAATTTACAACAGTTGAAATACAAACACAACAAGTTTGTTACCGAGTTACGTAATAAAATTTGTAATAACTATCGCTTTTAAAATAATTAACTTTTAACACTCTTGTTATGAAAACTAAATGAACTAAATAATAACTCTAAACAGTCTTGTATATCCAATAAGTTGCAAATACTTTAACCAGCAAAATAAAACATCAAAAGAAGTGTGTTAATAAATATCAGACTAACTGGCTATATGAAGGTCTAACTTTCCGACCAAACAAAAGCTGAAATTTTAAGGTGTTTTGAAAGTGGGGTCTCAAACTTGTTTCAGAAACTAGATACTGTTTAGAAAGTTTCATTACATTTTCCTGTTGTAAGAAGGAAAAGGTCAGGGAATATCAGTGACATTAAGACCACGAAACGTAAAATGTAGTTCAAGATCAAGTTGAGAGTAAACTTGTAGGTTACAGATGGCTCTGTTGAACAAAATATTGAGCAAAAAGTTATTTAATAGTAATGTTGTGTATGATACTTTATCTTAGGAAAACAATGTAGGCAATAGACAAAAAAAAGTCAAGGTGGTATCATAAGTTCCATTCTTTTATGTATATATGTGTTATTGCTGAGTAAAAACTGTTGTTTCAGGAGAGGAGAGCTGAGAAGAAAGCCAACAAGTTAGCTTTCAAGATGGAGGAGAAAAGACAGGAACAGATTACCCTAAATCTTCACCAGAATCTACAAGGGATTAAGTTGAACTAAAATACCTGAGATGATGATCATCGTGAAAATGTGTAGCAAGTCCCTTCCTTTGTACATACTCACACAATATAAAGATCACCAGTTTCTTCTCAATAGTTTATCTTTATTATCTCTCTTTGTAGATAGTGTTCATAAAAATTATGACAATCAATGCTCAAGTAACATATTTCTAAAACACTTAAAATCTGTGACACTGAAACTTATACATACTGAATAAACTTTTCAGATAGAAATAATATTGTTAAACAGTGTTTATACTCTCTAATCTCTCAAACACACTTAAAGGGCTATATCTATAACAATTTATTTTAAACCTGATACATCAACTTTTTAAAAATTGATCTAAGAAACTGTGGAAATGTTCTTGTTTAACAAGCAGATGATCATGTCTGTATATCATTACTCTGTTGATGTACCTATGGCAAATTATATATAGAAATATAATTTCACGTATTATCTTTTTAAACTCAACCACTTTAAATTATTTATTCTTTTGTACGAGGATGTTACTGACCAACATCAAGAAACAACAGTGCTTGAGCCCTCAAAAGCAAAACAGTTTTAACTTTTTTGCATCAAACTCTTCAGTCTTCTCCTACCTCATGCAGTCTATTCCGATGATACAAATTTTAAAAATGCTTTAATTTTTCTTTGCATAACTCATTTTATGGCTGTTTTACAAATGCTGGTTGTTAGCATAAACATAATGTAAAAATACTATATAATCTACATGAAAATCTTTGGTGTAAACTAGTAACTCGTAAGTAAAACATTTGAAGAATAATTTCAGTATTTCTTTGCTAGAATAAAATTCAACATACATTAAACAGTGTTCTCAACTGTAATATTTTCTGACTTCTCACTGTATAAGTTCCAGATTTTACACACATGTTAGAAGGTCAATACACTTAACCAAAACTGATTAAAATCAAAGAACTGTAGATGCAAGATTAAGATATTTCTACATACTAATTCTACAGTAAGTCTGTATATTATCAAAGGCACTTTCTTGGGAAGAAGAATCTACAGAATTGCAAGTGACAAAATGATCTGTTTCTATCTTCTCTTAGCATGCTGAGATCTTTCCAATCCAATGTCAGGATCCTCATCAATAACCTAAGAAAACATTGTTCATTAGTAAAGTATAAATTGTTTGTGATAGTATGAGAAAGTAACATTCACTGTTACAACATAATCCTCATGATCATACCAGAAAGTAACATTCACTGCTACAAGATAATCCTCATGACCATACCAGAAAGTAACATTCACTGCTACAAGATAATCCTCATGACCATACCAGAAAGTAACATTCACTGCTACAACATAATCTTCATGATCATACCAGAAAGTAACATTCACTGCTACAATATAATCCTCACAACCATACCAGAAAGTAACATTCACTGCTACAATATAATCCTCACAACCATACGAGAAAGTAACATTCACTGCTACAACATAATCCTCACGATCACATGAGAAAGTAACATTCACTGTTACAATATAATCCTCACAACTATATGAGAAAGTAACATTCACTGCTACAATATAATCCTCACAACCATACCAGAAAGTAACATTCACTGCTACAATATAATCCTCACAACCATACGAGAAAGTAACATTCACTGCTACAACATAATCCTCACGACCATATGAGAAAGTAACATTCACTGCTACAATATAATCCTCATGACCATACCAGAAAGTAACATTCACTGCTACAATATAATCCTCATGACCATACGATAAAGTAACATTCACTGCTACAATAGAGTCCTCAAGACCATACGAGAAAGTAACATTCACTGCTACAACAGAGTCCTCAAGACCATACGAGAAAGTAACATTCACTGCTACAACAGAGTCCTCAAGACCATCTGAAAAATAATTACATTAAATATTTTCAAAACTTTAAGTCTTGGAAAATCCAGTATTTGTTACTGGCTCAAAACTTTAATTTTCTCTGCTTCCTTCACAAACACAAAGAAAAAAACAAAATATGACTAACAAGAAAGTGCAAGTACTTTTAAATTCTTGATTTTGAGAAAAGTACAAATGAATATAATGACAAAAGAATTTGTAGATTTATATAACTCCAGTATTGTTTTTATTTTCTTTCTACTTCTCAAGTGAATGATCAAGACACATTATTTAAAAACTTCAGTATTCAAATACTTGTGTCTAAAATTAAGTTTTTTGCTGTATGTAATACACAAGGGTAGTTAAATTCATTTCACCATACCCAGTGAAAATAGTGAACACCTGAGAAATAAGAGCATTGGTTACTATACAGTCACGACAACCTGTGAAAGTATCAGTCACCACTAAGATATTCCTCACGACAACCTGAGAAAGTACCAGTCACCACTAAGATATTCCTCACGACAACCTGTGAAAGTATCAGTCACCACTAAGATATTCCTCACGACAACCTGTGAAAGTATCAGTCACCACTAAGATATTCCTCATGACAACCTGTGAAAGTATCAGTCACCACTAAGATATTCCTCATGACAACCTGAGAAAGTATCAGTCACCACTAAGATATTCCTCATGACAACCTGAGAAAGTATCAGTC